ATTGGTTGGTCATTCACCTGATTATTCACCTCATATTCTTCTTTGATTTGTCTTTATAGAACGTTCCAACAGGACCCAATAATAAACCAAAGATACCTGTGGTGATATCTCAATGTGGAGAAATGTGATAGACATGCAAACAAAACTGTATTACCTGTAGCATACAAGTCTTAAGTCAGAGAAAATAAACATGGAGAAAATGACATATTTTAAATACATGATACGACACAAATGTGGATGGCCTTGCCTGAACCTTTGAATTTGAACCTGCTATCCTGGATTACCCTGGAAGACTATGTATTCAAGAGGAAAAAGCTGTTTTTGAGATAAACACACTACAACAGGCAATTGTGGTCTTACAATGTATGAAACACAGTCCCTCCGTTGATGTGGTGGGACGGTACTAAGACCAGTACTCACCAAAGTGGAAATTGTCTGTGGGTCAGTTTTCTGTAGTGGCTGAGACAGAACATCAATCACTGACAATGAATGAATTCAAAATTGGTGGTGAATGTGACATTCACTGCTTTATGGGTAAAAATGTTTCCACCTAAATTTCTTAGATTACTTGACCATGCATTTTCTGTCAACAGTGAATGTGAAACGAGGATGGCAGCAGTGGTCATTCTCACTGCTTCGTTGGGTATGTGTCGCAAATTAAATTTATTTTGTTTATAATAAATAAATAACAGGAAAAAAATATTATCTAAATCTATATTAAGTTGAAGAGAAAGTCATTGATGCAATGGATTAGCGCGTGTGTGTGCGTGTGCACATACGCATACGTGCGTGCGTGGTGATTACACCCTGGAGTCAGTACTGCAATTGCATGCAGAGATTGTTTTAAAAAGGGAACAGGGACGCAGCGCACTCTTGGGAGCAGATCCTCTGGCAACCATCAAATTTGGATTGACCAGGAATCATATGTGGAGACAGTCTTCAACTGTGACCTGTCTGATAGTAATTTTGGTCCCAGGGAAGCCATAGAATGCTCAATTTTAATTATCAAAAACTCCACACCCTGGTAGGGAGAACCCTATCTCCCCCACTTGGTGGCGCCGCTGAATTGCAGTGCTCCCTCTTGCAGTTTTTTTTTCTAGAAAAACCCCTGGTATGTGTAAGTAATTAACACTGAATTCAGTGCCTAATTGTGTGTGCAGGTGATTGCACCTATAACTGCATGTGTAAAATAATAAAAAAAAAACAATATTTCAATAAATTCTCAGATGCATTGTTTACTTCCATGGTGCATCTCACTTGGAAGGTGTATAACATTCGCTGTGGTCTATAATCTCATGTCCGAATTTTCTGTGTTGGTGGTTCATCCCACTACAACTTGCAACAACATTACAAAATCGGGTACACATAATTGATCTAGTTCTTGAATAGTTACAGGATTGGGGGGGGAGATAAATGTAAATGAGATTATGTAGATTATGTAGATTTTGTTCGAGCGCCTGCAAGTAATATAAATTGCAGTCTAAATATATGCAAGTTTACTAACCCCCAACCGTTTTCATTTTAAATCAATGTCTTTCAAATTTTGTTCATTTTTTAGCTCCGTTGTCGACAAAGTCGAGCGGAGCTTATAGTATTACTGATTGTCCGTCGCTGGCGTCGTCAACTTTACATTTTCGACTTCTTCTTAAAAACAACAAACTGTATAGCTGTGAAACTTTCTAGGAAGGTACCTTGGGTGCTTCTCTCTCAGATTTGTTCATTTCGTGATAACTTTAATTCTCTAATTTTGGTGAATATTTTTGGTAAAAAGTGATATTTTCGACTTCTTGTTAAAAACCGCAAGTCCGATTGCTTAGATATTACATACCGTTGTAAGTACTACATGTGGACCGGTCTCAGATTTGTTCATTTCGTGATGATACCTTTAATTCTCTAATTTTCATGAATATTTTTGTCATTTTTGGTAAAAAGTGATATTTTCGTCTTTTTGTTAAAAACCGCAAGTCTGATTGCTTTGATATTACATATATAGGTACTACATGTGGACCTCTCTCAGATTTGTTCATTTTGTGATGATTTTGTTCTTCAATTATCTAATTTTAATGAATATTTTTGATAAAAAGTCTGATTGCTTTAATACTATACATACTGTTCATTTTCTATCATGTTCTTTAATTGCAATGTGCATTGATAACAGCGGAGCTATCTCAGCCGACAGGCTGCTAGTTTTTTAAAATCGCTCATGCATAAATTAAAGCATGTTAGAAAAACCTGACTTGGGAACCTACATCACTGCACGCACTCGTACAGTGTGAATAGTTTATAATGAACCCGCCTTAATTGACTCCACTGTTTTTAGTAGTCACTCAACAGAATATTCAATACAAATACTGTACACATGTACTTTTAAATTGTCTGCGGCATTTTTACTCGTTATTCGCCATGGCAACTGTGTGCAGGAGAGACAAATGCAGCTGTTTTCTACAAGTGGTGAACGAAGACGTTGACCAGAATATTTGACTTTGTAAACAACACAACTGAATCAACAGTTTACATCCCAATGTTGGGAACTCTGTATTGAATCGAGCAAATAATCTATGAATCCTAGAAATTCTAATTGGTGCAAAATCAGACCAACTATGAATCGTGTTCTCAAAATATAAACCATAGAATAATATGTGAACCACATAAAACTGTAGGTTAAATTAAAAATTTAAAAAGTTTGCCCATTTGAAAACTGGGAAGTTGTTTACAAATGTTTTATTCATTCCTCTGTGGCAACAATTACCCCCCCCCCCCGAGTTTGTGCACTCTTTTTACTCTTCACCCCAGTCAATTTTATCTCGCAAAATAAACCCTGCACTTCCTACTCTCTTTTTAAGCTGGGAACCTTTAATCGACAATTTTCAAAGGCCAAGGAATGTCTAGAAATTAAAAAATATGTCTGAACAAATATCCAGTTTAATTTGTATTCAAATGAGATGTCATGACCCATTTTATTATTTCCTGAGATATATACCCACTCACAGATTTTTAATTAAGTACACTCCACCAGGTTGTAACTGTAATTGGGCAATAGCTAGTTTCTTCAAGAAATAAATAAAATATGGAAATGTCTCATTTTTGTCAATTTACCATGCAGGTTGGTAACCTTCTTAAATGCAGACCAACTATTTGTTATCGAACATGTATTTTTAATTCGTGTGTTTAAATGTAAGACCTGCATACAACTCTTCTTATAAAATCACTTGTGATGTCGCACTTTTGTCCCTCGCAGTGTGCATTTCCCATAACTCCCTCCACTGCAGTTCTTCCATGAGAACCAACAGGTGATTTTAACAGCCCCTCTCTATTACAACTATTTTCATGGTTCATCAGGTGCTCTCGTAATCAAAACGTGCAATTTCCTCTTCAATTGTGCAAGAGCTGGTTTTCTCCAGTGGCAAGACTTGGAAATGTGAGCCTGATTCTTCCAATCAGCCAATAGTGGTTACTCTACTGGCTGCGCGAAGCAGGTGATTGGTGAAGGAATTCAATCCAAAAAGTTACTCGGGGTTATACACATGTATCCGATGTAATGTACATTTTATCAGTTACATAATAGGTATATCGCAATGACCACTTTGGGCAATATGTAGAATAGTTTTAAACAAAGAGCTTACAGTTGTGACAATCATTGTCTGTTTGACAGGTGAATTGGCAATGATGGTCGATTGAGAGTCATGGTTGAAGTCGGGTGTTCCCCCTTAGTGATTCTAAGATAGAAACGCTGTTTATTACATAACCTCAGAATTAAAATTTGCATACACTCTGTGAAAATTCTTTGAAAATGTAACTGCAAAATAGTGCATCACATTGGAAATTTTTTTCATAATTATGTACCCATGTTTATCCCGCCATTCCATTTTCTGTATACACCATGAATAGGGCTCAAGGTTGTTTTTTTAGCCTATTCTAATGACACCTGAATGCACTAAATTAAAACTGCAAATATGTAAATTCAACAGTGGAATGTATTTTTTCCTTCACAATAATCTGGCGAGTTTTCCTACATCAAATTCTTTAAATTATCGAAGGGAATATTTTCCCATTCTTCAGTATCAAACGGGTATAAATATCCAAACTATAATGGTGACCATTGTTCAGACCAGTTACCTATTTTATCATTGAATTTAAATTGAAGTTGTACAGTATTACAAAAGGTTCCAAAATAAATTGATCACGTAAACTATCTTTCTGTTGGATATTTCTTTGAAGATTCTTAGCAACATTTGGTACTTCTAATCCTAAAAGCAGGCATCCCTGGAAACAAACATTTGTAGTGAAAATCCTGTACAGAACACACTGGGCTTTTTTTTTAACGTTACCCATGTGGGTAACTCGAGTGGTGAGGATGAAAATTAAAATTGTGGTTGTAAATATGGCTGAATATCATTGGATGTTGTCATCCGTATCTAAATTACAACTGTTGACTAGCACTGTTTTTGAATCGCATTACAGATGGTGCTTGTGGACGATTGATTTTGCGGGGGATATTTTTTGTGAAAACCATTTTCAATCAGATTTCGAACAAAGGATTTGGGTATTTGAAATATTACTAAAATGAAAAACATATTTGCAGAAGAGTTTTACACTTTCATAACCAATTATTATGGGATATCAATTGGAGAATTTATTTTCTAATTCAAACACACCAATCAAATACTACCGGTAGTATAGTTTGTACTTTCAATATGCAAGTTTCCAACAGTTGAATGCTAAAGTCAAGATTTTTACAAGGGATATTTCAATCTTCCAAGAGAGATTGACAGAGAGGTGAAAAATTTCATTATCAATTTATTGGGGCACCCACTGTATTAGAGTTGCAAACCTCAGAGACTGTGTGTGAGAATTATTTATAATGTGCAGTCATAATTTCCCACACTAGATACTGTAAAATATTTTATTTTCACTGAAAAGACTTGTTGGGTGTTTTGTATGGAATTTTATTTTCACTAGTTGTTGAATATAAAATAACTGTATAGGAAGAAAAAGGTAAATTTACTGGATTGTATTTTCACTGAATCAGCCCTTCAGTGAAAATAGCGAAAAATAAAATCCAAGTGAAAATAACGTATTTTACAATAGGGGATTTGTGCAAATTATTAAAAGTAAACCATGTGGTCTTGATCTTTTCACTAAGATGCAACATTTATATGAATGTTGAGGCAAGTATTTGGTAGCACACCATATGAAAGTTTGATTGGATTTGGAGTATGAATTATTCGGAACTATAAGCAGGGTTTTTACCAGGATTAATCATACGTACCATGAAATGGATTGTGGCAGTATTCACAATGGATTAGCATTTATATCACATGCAATAAAATTACATTTCCCAGCATGTGTATTTGTTTCTTTAATCTATAATCATTATGGGTGATAATTTCTAATTTAATTTATTGGGTTTGATATTTCAGGAATATTCACTAGGTTTTAATTTGAGCACATTTATCGGCAAGATAAACCCAAGCAAATAATCAAGTCCTATTCTCGGGGGGGGGGGGGTCGCTGACATCCGGGCATTTTCACTACCTGGCAACCATCATGGTGAAAACAAAGGCCAAAAACTCCTACATGTACACAACACATATAAATTTGGTTGATCAAGGTTACTTCAAAGTTGAGTTTGTGCTGTTTTCACCTGCATTCCACAGCAGCTTGTGCAGTGTTCATTGAAATGCATGGTACAGTGGTGCCGTCTTAGCAACATAAAACATTTTGTAACGAAGCTCCATTCCCGCAATTACAGTAGCTAGGCACACAACAAAACGGAATGTTACTAAGGTTTTGATACATGTGCAAAGCCTGTTTTAGCTAAATTAAGAATCTGCTAACTTGTGCATTGAGCCAAATTTGCTTTAATGGCTGGAATGCAATCTATTAACCAAAATGAACCAGTTACTGCATGCGACAAAATATATTGATTAAAAACATTATATACATGCAATGCAGGAAATTGAATATTTCCCCCCATCGATTCATAAACATTATGAATGGTATTTGGGCATCTGTACAACCACAGCAAGATTTCATACTTTTCCGTTGCACACTTTTCCAATTTTTTTACAATAACATATTAAAACCAAACTGAAAGCAACTCAGAACTGTGGTGCATGAAAATATCACATCACTATAAATTACCCAGAACTCTCAAACATTTGTACTATCTGACATCGATTTCTTTAAAACTTGTTGCCTTAATATTTATTATAGGCTCAATGGTATGTTTCACAATGTGACCAGAATGTCAAATTCACCAACTTTAATGAAAAACATTTACAACAGTGATGATTCTGATCTTCGGAAAATACAAAATGTACAATTACCGACACAAGTACTTGTCTCACAACCACATGGCACTAATATGCATATTTGTTTTCTCTATTGAAAGATTCTGCTGGAGATTCCTTCGTCATCTAAGTGTTGTATAGTACGGTTTATCAAGTTTGGTTTACCGTTGACAAAATTAACCCTTCTGTATACACGTTTTCAGTATGCTAAATCACATCCACAGCTGGCCTTGTACTGCCGATATTCACAAAACTTCTCAATATCTTAGTACAACTCACAAAGGATTGTGGGTAATCACAGGCACTGTACAGCAACAGATGGATCATCAGAAGCAGGTGTTGCATAGACCTATTTACATGCACCTATTAATTCCAGCTTAAGGCTAACACTAGTCAGGAACTGCCATTTTTTGCCCATTTATAAAATGTGGATACCTTAATTTTTAATTAATTTTGGACAATCAACAAGTAGGGTATAACGCCAAGGAAATCTGTTTCTATGAAAAAGTTTGGTTCACCTTTCAATTGATTAAAATAGTTTAAATTCCCTTGAACTGTTGTCTGTAAACTTGGTTTCATGACCTTCCAAATTCTGCTTAGAGTACATGCTTAACACAGCCGTGAGTAGTTAAAAACTGTCCTATAAAAGAAACATGGCATGCATCTCCGACTCTACATCAATTGAAAAATTTTCACGTGAAATTGATTTCTTTTAATTAGTTCATTAGTAACTGGATGCAATCACAACTGAATTCGTTGACTGATCAGCTGCTGGCAAAACAGTTAATTTGTGAATACTATAGCTGCTGTACATTGTGTCAAAGGTTCAACAAAAATGTTGGCAAAACTTTAAAATACTCGCCCATGGAAAGAATTCCTGCACAAGGCATGCACTAAGAGCAAATAAGGTATATGCGTGACCATCTTTTCGAGACTTGCACCCACATCATATTATGAACATAAATAGGGGCAGGGTCATGACAAGGACACTGAGGGGGGATGGGAAGAAAAAAATCAGAAACATCTTGTGCTGCTCAACCCTTTATTCATGCTTTATTATGCACATGTTGCATGTTTTTTTCACACAAGGTTTTACACAAGAGGATGTATTCCAACTCTCTTATTAGTAAGGTATTAAACAAGTAGGAAATAATATTTTCTAGAAAATAGGTTTTTAAGTAATGACATGTCTGCATTTTTTTTCGCTGTCTACAACTACCAATTTTAAGAGCACTTCCATGTCATTTTTTTTCATGGTGCCGTTTTTTCAAAAGCTGGTAAAAATTCTTAGCAAGCTCAACAGACATGTCATGACTGTATCCCCCTTTAAAATGCGCAACATGTGCCTGTCCCAAGTTACTACAGTTTGTTTATGCTTGGGTTTCTTCAGGTTTTTGAGTCTCTGTTTGTGTTGGTGTCTGCGTTGGTTGTGATGGTGGGCTGTTCTCATTCTGTAAACAAAAAATGAAAACAATCAATATGGTTTCAAGAGTAAGTTTTGAATATAAATGCATAAATATTAACTATCAGGTTAAATTCATTTCCAAATTGGCAGACAATCAGATTGAATGGCAGCTGCTATTCACGAAATTGTGTCTTCACCTCTAATCTCCGGGATCAAAATTGAGGCCTGTCCACCTGCCCAAGACTGGCATATTTCAGCTAAGATGGGTAAATATACAAACTACTTGTTCCTGTGTACAAGGGAAAAATGATATCGCGTTTTACTAACTGTCCAAATCAGGTTGTTTGAAGTTGCCATGTCCAGAAAATTGCACACATTTTTAAACTTTACTCTCCGACCGGCCCAATTGACAGGAAGCTTTAATTTTAAATTTCAACCACCAAATGTAAAAAATTCTAAACGGTGAAAGTGTTATCAAAGACACAGTATGAATTACCATAACAAATTGTTACATTATAGATGCCTACCTCTCCAGCTGAATCACTTTTTTGCTGGTCATCTTTATCTTTGCCCCTTCTGGTCCCATCTCTATCTCCTTGATAACGACGCCTGAAAAAAAAAATGCATAAACAGCTATTTAATACAATCTTTGCACAGCTTCATTGAAATCACGATGAAATTCTAGTATAGAATATAGGTTTTTTGGTGTTTTTCTTTTGTCAGTACAGGCTGTTTTTTATTCAACTATGACATTGATTTAGAATTTTCAAATTTGGGATATCTTTTATTAGTACTTATAAAAGTTGTATCAATCCAGCCATTCACAACAAGTAAAATCTTCAAGTTACCTCCTATATCCTCTGTATCCTCCTCTGAATCTGCGATATGGGCGGCGACGATTTTGATCCTGGCCGTGATCTTGGCCATCATTTTCCTTTTCACCCTGAAAATTATATAAATACAGAGTTTCTTTATTAACAATGCTTGAAATAAAACCATGATCAAATTCTGAAAAAGTTCAGTGTTTTAAATGACAACTATCATCACACACAAAATGCAATGATTAGTGTAATCTGGTAAATTTAGACTTACCTCTCCACCACTGTCGTCAGATCTTAGTTGGTCTCTGTCACGATTACGCCCTGGGCCGCCTCCTCTCCCTCCTCCCCTGTAGCGTGGATTATACCGGCGATAGAAGTACGGACGACGGCGCCTCTGTCTATCTTTTTGTAGGTTTTGGCCACCTTCGCCACTATCTGAACCTTCATTTTCGTTTCCATCACCATCCTGATCTTCATTGTCTTGTCGTCTGCCTTGTGGGGCACCGTCACGACGTCTGGGATAGTATCGGCGCCTGAATCGGCGTCTATCTGCAGCATATTTACTACCCTGTACTGGTGCCCCCTCTGGCCCTGTCACATTGGCAGCCTCATTACCCTTTTCACCTTCGACCACATCAAACTCTACCGTTTCGCCATCTCCCACACTTCTCAAATACTTCCTTGGATTGTTCTTTTTGATGGCTGTCTGAAATATCGAAAGAACATGGCACATCAATTTATGGTCATCCAAAAAAAAATTTAACATGTAGGAGTTTTTACAGCAAGTCTTCGAAGTTAACTCTTAATTCAATGACAACTTCGGTTTTGGCAAACCTACAACTTTAATATAATCATTCTGTCACAATCAAAAGCCAGTAATATCTTAAAAACAGTACTTTATACAAGATTACAGGGATTTAACAAGAATAAAAAGTATGTAAAATGGTTTGTGATGGTCGAATCTGCTTTGTAGACCCAAGTTGTTAATGAATTAGTGAGCAAGTTTGATACTTCGCTGCCTCAATACTTCTGAGACATGCAGCCAAACATGACTACAATATGAATGTACTTCATTACAAATGCCTCATGTTATTTCCTGTTGTATGGTATAAAAGGTAATCTGAAAACTGCCCCTAGCTTTTTTAGAAAATGTGCCAAAAAACACTCTTCCTTCCATTTCATTACAAAGCATAAAGGTTTGTAAATTTGAGATGCATGGTTTCATTTAGCAAAAGTCCTACGGAATTACTTCAAACTCAATTGAAATGCAACTACACCAATATTTAAATAGATCTGCAAAGTTCACAACACGAATGGTAAGGCAAACTAGTTTCTACATTAAGAAATAAAAACATACTTACTTGGTGCACAAACACATCTTCATTTGTATCATTCCTAAGTGAAGCAAAAAAAGAAAAAACCTTAACTCAAGAAAATGCTTCAGACACAAAAAAACCAAAAGATAACAGAACGACATTATCAAAGACAATTCAGCAACATACAACGTTCAAGTTTAAATAATAAACACAAACTTGGCTGGGTCAAAGAGCACCCGAAACATAAACTTGCACTTGTGTCCAAGTCAAGAATAAACAAAAGAAATCAGTACGGTAGTTCGGTTACAATGAAAATTAGTCACTTATCTTTTTTTACACGAACCGAGTTAAAATGGCAAAACTATTCTAGCAAAGTATTACTGTGGAAGGGTTTCTTACCTATTGATGAAGCCATAACCATTTTTCACGTTAAACCATTTCACAGTACCAGATACTTTCTCGGCTGCAAATTAAAAACAAAGCTTAAGTGAAAAGTGCACTTTATTTCCACAAAACCGTACACATTAAACTTGTTCTACACATGACTCATATTTTTGCAATTACTCATCGTTTAACTGTGCGGGCTTATTCAATTACATTGAATATGTAGTAAAATGCCAAGCATGGCAGCTACGACCAGGCGCGCTGGTGACTGCAATGTGAATTTTCAACAACTTTCATTGTCGAATATCTCAGCCGGTTTTACATATACAGACATAATTTTTTGACCAACTTACCTAAGATCTTTTTTTCCAAGGCTACACTTTTCTCGGGTTGTTGTTCCGAGCTGTCGGACATGGTGTTTTCCGCTGTTTCTGGGTGGTGCCAAACTCGTGATGTTCCCTCACAGCTTTGTTCTATCTGCTGCAAAGATGGCCGCGTGATGCGCGGGGTATTATGGGACCACGCCACGCTATTTAGGAACAGTACCATTTTGAAAATGGGGTACTCATAACCACAGTATGTTTAATAAAACTAGTACTTCGAGAATCAAACTATTTGAAATAAATCAACTTCAATATATAACAATAATTTGTATATGTTTCTATAAAAATTGAATTATTGATGGTGCAACTTGCGTTCTAAATGTCAATAACGTGAAATGGTTCCTATTAATTAATGGTGAAGTCGAGAGGACTGTCGACCAATGAAAACAAACACTTCATACGTGCAAAAGCCTAACCCAATTCACAACTTCATGCACATGCACAATGGTCACATTAGCACTCAAACAATGAACCACGATGACTAAACGTATTATGGTAGCAATAGTACAATTACTAGAAATGCGGAAACTCTGTGTGATATTTAACGTTCAAGGTCGTACTTTAAAAAATAGCAGCATTCTGGGCCATAAAGGGAATATCAGTGACGAAAATGATGACGCTGTAAAGAATATTTGATTGCAGGCCAAAGAATGCAATGAATTACGTACTATAAATACTTAACGCTTGTGTTGGCGAAATGCCAAGATTGCGACGATCTGTGATTTAGACACAGTACGTAAGTGTTATGTTATAAAGCAGGCTTATATTCAGTTTATATTTATATATTGATTTTATTACTCGTTTTTTTTATTATTATTTCTCACAGTGAAAAACAAATACATACATTGTTTTTTTGTTCCCCTTTATTAAACTAAACGTGTACCCGAAGATACCTAAATCGCGTCTTTTTCACTGCAGTCTCAGACACCGTCCCTCAACGGACGGTGTCTCAGACAAGCTGCAGTTTATAATATAACCACAGTCCCGGTAGAGGGACTATGGTATATAACCAGATATTTCTAACTGAACACTTTGTAAACGGTGACGCGTGGCAGATTCGTGGTATCGACAAGGTCAGTTTATAAAGATGATAATACTCCCTAGATTATGAAGATGTTCAAAGTTTACACCAACTCAATGCCCGTCCTATCACACACTGCTGGTGTATCGCAAATAAGGAATGCAAGAATTATACAGTGAAGACAGCCTGGTGCTATTCTGCACTATTTAACTTGAAGTGTCAATAAAATTCTCACTAACTATGATAATACTTTGGGGCCTCATTTAAACTGCACTCGGGTTTTGGCAGGCATCATTTGACCTACATTTAATGCATCGCTAAATGCATATAGATTTGATAAATTGAACACTACCTTTACATGTATTAGTATTAGTATTTATGATATACATTTTATTTTTATGAAATTTGTGGAGGGACTGTGGTTGATCTACGTAAAGCCGAGCTCATTCTGAATTGTTGAAGCAAAAAACGAAGAAAAAATTGACAATTCACTGACAATAATTAAACGTTATGTTTCTCTTTTGTTAGAAATAGCGTTGGAACCAGTTAGCAAGTTTAATTGTAAATCCATTATCTCACAATTTTTTTTTGGTCCCGTTGCCTGCAATTATTTATTTGTTATATATTATTTGTTTTTTCTGGTTTCGCTTTGCTTTGTAAGTGTTTATAAGATTATCATTACTTAAAAATGCATGTAAAATACAACCACACATGGAGCATATTTTGTCTGTGGTGTAGTTTTATCGATCTACCAATCAGTAAAGGTATGTGTAACCATAGCAGCTGCATAATTAACGTAAGCGCGAATGAGCAATTGCCATGGGAAACGAAGGGTAGGCTAAATTGCCGAGTTTTGAAAATAGTATGTGATCTATGATATCTGTACGATAATTCAGAATGTATAACTGATTTTCAAATTTGTTTTTATCAAATTAAATTGTGTGGGGAAACAATTCTATGATATGAACACAATTAATTACTAGTAATCAAACAACTTACACCAAACACGCAAACAGGGTCGACAAAACGACATCAAAACAAGGATGTGAAGAATAGAAAATATGCAATAAGAAAATAACAGGTTTGAAAATGTCAACAAAATGGACTCGTGTATGTGATGAGTAATCTTCACCATCTGAACAATAGCCTGATTATTTTTATCAGCATAAAACCATATTGAAGAACTCAACAACTTTGAATCTGATAATTTTTTTAAAAGATTGCCAATTAATTTTTACTTGAAAAAACAATGTAGAAACCCCCAAAACGCCGAACAATATAAACACCACTTCCCAACTGCTCAGTCACCTTATTTTGATCACGGAGGTGATCGAATTATGAATCATCAAACAAGCAACCATACCACTGTTACCACGTTTGTATACATATTGGTCGCACAGGGTCCCGTGTTGCACGACTGTCATTTGATATCTGTGTCGCTGTCCTTTCTAATTTAAGTACTTATTCGAAACAAGTACACCAACAGTTTCAACCAACTTGACGATTTGACACCATTGGCCCTGGAACACACACACATTTCTATAAATTCACAGTCTTAATACTAGTACCCTGATAGGGCGCACAACACCAAAATGATTTAATGAAAATGCTAGATATTTCCTAAAAACTAGAAAAGTTTTTACGTGAAAATTATCTGCGGACTTTTCGCTACATCAGAGAATTTATAAATTACGGCTTAACATATGTTTCTACTTGTAAGTTACATGTAAATGTAACACATATAGTAACCTATAGCGGGCGCCCGGGTCAGATATGCGTTAACTGCCCGTCCTGCGCCAAGCAGGAATGTTGCTAACTACTCGGGTACTCGTCTTATGATTAGAGGGCGATGTAGACACGTATAGTGAGACATAGTATCACTTGAAAACAGCGCATAATAATAATCCAACATACCACGTGTCACTTACATGATGTAAATTACTTCTGAAAATTTGTTATAAAAAAAAATTACAATATTTGGATTCACATGAATAATAATATTGCAGTAAATCCTAATATTGTCATTTTTCAAAATTAACATTTAATTTATTGAGCTCAATACTGTTTTCTATTATATTGAATGAATAGTGCTTTCCCACAATGCATTTAAATTGCATCTAAGTATGTCCAGTACCGTGCAAGGTGATGGCACATTGTAATAAAAGTTTTAAAAAAATACAGTATTCTTTTATATTGCGAGTTGCATTTTCATTTGAGTGGGGTCGTTAGGTTTTTGGTATTTCCTCAGGACCCGATTTTGCAAAAACAATTTTGTTAGCGGCAGCTTCCCCAATCCCGATAACTCCCGAAGTTTTATGTTTGGTATAGACACACTAAGTTTTCAGAAACAAATTTGTTTATAGAATTTGTTTTCATAGTTTAGAAATAATTCAAATAATTTTGTCTTGTACGTTTACGTTTACTCAATTGTTCTATATTTTATTCCATTTTGTTTAAAATATATAATCTCTATTCTATTCGATTGTTCTCTCATTGTTCTATTTATTTATTTTTTTTATTTTCCGATTTTTTTTCTCATTTATATTATGCCTTGTCCGATCCATACGGACTATTTTTGATGTTCGGTCTGACCATATCTACGTCAAGTTTTGATTATTATTTTGATCTCACGTGTGTTTGTCAGTACCCCCGCGCAAATGACCGTCGCACTTTGAGCAGACTTGGAGATATCAGTGTTTGCACGATAACAATAGTGGGAATCAGCATTGTTACAGGTGAAAATATATGTACTAGTACGTGGGATAATTCTCTTATTATATTAAGCGAACGAACAATCATGAGTTTCGCTTTCATTCTGCGATACTCAGTTTTGTGAACGGAAGAATGAACACCAAAACTTCAATGTCAATAGAGTAATTATTATGCATAATAAGTATAATATTATGTTAAACTAATGTTGATGTTTTTTTATTTGAGTTACTAATCTCTGTTACCACACGGGTGTGTCCTGCTCAATGCGAGACGGGTGGTAACTTCATTGCGTATTGGAGGGGTCTTTGCTAATGGTGCAATTACACTATCCCTCTAGAAACCAATAACCATTGGTCGGTTAACGTGGTGCGCATGCCCAGTCGTCCATTCTTTTTCCTAGCGAAGGCAAGGCACATGTAAGTTCTAATTTTGTTCATTTTCGGCGACACATTGGTAACTATCAGTCGAATTAACACCTTTCTCGACACTTTTTTTTGAATATTTTTTCACACACCTTGTTTTATTTGCTATCGATTCGATAACAATTACAGTAATGTCCATGGAATAGTTGGTTTTCAAATAACTCGTGCAGCCAGTCTCAAAGCTGGTGGCCGCCATGTTGTTTCACCGAAATAGTCAAATCGATGGTTGCGCTACTTAAGACAATATCCTTGGTTCTTAGACAGTAATCGTGTTTCGGTTATCACCATTTCGTAGTAGACTTAGTTTTCAATATCTCGTTAACGTCAAATCCCACGTTTTCTTCCGGAACGTCTTCAAATAAGCCCACGTGTGTAAGTTTAAAAAAAATATTGAACTTCGATAAATTGAAGTTTAGCAACGTTTTTGCTTGTTATGTTCTTCAGTCTGCCACATCGTTTAGTATATAACGTCATTACTTTGTAGAGTTAGCCCTCTTTCAGAATAACTGGGTTGAAAATTAGTCGTAACATTCTCATTTGGTATCTGTCATTTGATCCAAAGTTAAGTAATTAATGCCTGTTGAAATATAAATTAGGAAATATAATGTTCAAAAATTCTGTGTAAAATGTTGGCTTTACCACTGAAAATACTTGTTAATGACATTGTTCTCCACATTGTAATTCTTTCAATGGTCAACATATGGCTTAATTTGATTACCAACAATTGTCTTACTGACGTACCATTTTTACTTGATTCTTGGGTTTTCAACATGGTCGTAGGGGAGTTCTTAAAGTTTATTGTAGGTTAAATTTAGTTTGAAGTCTTAGTTATTCCAAGTAATATGTACTGTATTGAACGCAACTGCTATAGTATTTGCAAGATCTGCATCAACAGTTTCTTGTGAATAGCTACGTCACTGAGGAGTTGCACAGAAACTATTACGTGTGTATTTTCCTAGTATTACAAGAGTCCTTATGTACTACCTCGTTGTGTTGGCGTGCATACAAAACAGTATTTGAACACTATATCGATATTTATTGTAGCAAAGATGGACAGACTTGAATGGTTGATAAAATTGCCTGGACTATCACTAACTTTTTAGTTATTGTACAATACCCAGATGTCCTAAAGTCTTTAGGTACCTGACTATTAAAATTTTTTTCAAGTAACTTCTTCTACCAAGGGTCGAATATAGATAAGAATGTGTAACATTCATGAATTAAACCATGCTAGAAATCATGCCATTGAAAAACTTGTACTGGGACGGGATTTATATTTCTGTGCCAGTTGCAAACTTGTCTTCATTGCTGATATCATGATATGCAATTCTATTCAACGCAGAAACTACTAAACTGAGTTTTCAGCTGCCACAACTGCCAGGCCCCAACTAATCACTAGCTGTCCTCAAACTTTGAAAATGAAAAATCAATTTGCCAAAAAAATGTGAGCAAACTACGTCTACACATGTCACTAAAAAACGCTCACTGATTTGACATGACCTGGAAACCCCAACCAATCAATACTTAAGTGTGCATATCCGACAATTGAGGTTTAAAAGTGGCTTTGATGCTTGAACACCCATTTAAAATATTTATTGGTGCTGAGGATGCCTATGATACTAATGTTCGGGCATTAGCAATTTTAACTGAGGATTGTGGTATTTATGATTTCTGATTTAAATGTACTACTGGGACACGGACGTTTAATTTTGCAGGACTTTCCTGACATTCTCATTGATGTTGGCGATCAATGTGCAAAGTTAATAATTTCCAAAAAATTGTATTCCTAAGCAAAGCACATGGTTACTCGTAGTAATGTTACAAGAAACAACAATACTATACTGAACAAGATAAATTTCTCTAACTACAGAAACAGAAATTGCATACTTAAATTTACTTCATAGGGAGGTGGTATGCAGGGTTGTTGCTTATGGGGTGTAGTTAAGCAAGCTTGTGAGGAACGCACATCACATCAGACATTACATTACACAATTCAAGATTAAAATTAAAAAATGGCTGTAATTACAACCCCCCCCCCCCCCCCCCAAGAATGTGGTTCTAATAAACCTAATCCTCCATAAAATTGATTGCCCATCCTTTATACTTTTTTGGAAAAAAATAAAAAGTTGAAAACGCACAAGATTGGAAAAAAGACATGAATAAAACCAGTGTTGCGGGCCGCGACGCTATCAGATTTGCCCGCATCGCTACGAGATTCTTCTGTGATGCTATTATTTATCCCGTGATCTGATTTCTTCAGTCCCTCACGGACTGTAAAGTTTCCTGGTTAACTAGTTAAATCTACAAATGCATGGTATTAATGCCAATTTCCTGGGATAATCCCCTGTTTTTTCTTATTGGTTAGATATCGTTTTAAGGTAGAGATGCAGGTTTGTGGGCATTTTTCATGATTTTTTTTTTTTTGCTTTTTCTCACCCAGACAGTCTTGGCTAGATAGTGTTAAAATTTCGGAGCATTGTCATTGTTGGAACATACTCAAAAATCAATTTTAAAATATAGGAAACCGAGGCACGCGTATGTGATTAAAAGTCCTGAAAGTTTGTTTGCGTTGCTCTTTGACAAGTCACTGTTGATGTTATATGCAAATGATTGCTGGCCCCAGTTACGGAGCAGGCGGTGTGCGACTTCCTGTTCTGGCTCTCTGTTTACTTACCTCAAGCGCAATCAACTAGCAAACTACAAAAACAGACAAGACGTAGACGCTTCCAGCATGCAAGCGGAATGAAACAAAACATACACTTGTAACTGAATAAGTAAACGGTTTCACCCTTAAATAAATTGTTTTTTCATTTATTTTCATGTAGGAGGTAG